GTACAACAAGGGTGCCGCGGTGAAAAATATTTGGAAACCCCTGACACAGGGTATAACAGTGCATAAAATTGTGCGAAATTGCATGTTCCTAGCTGCATAAATGGAGGGGTTATTGAGAAAAATCTCATATCTGTAAAATCAGTTGTATGGGAGCTAAATAATAATTAATAAAAATACACTCACTTCGCAAATTTCAGTCGGATATCTCGAAAACTGAGAGACGATATTGCATTCAAACAGAGGGACAGACGGACATGGGTAAATCGGCTCGGCTATCTGTTCTTATTCTGGTACTAACAAATATCGGACCAAAGTTATAATACCATTTCATGCTCTTGAAGGTATACTAATTTGTAAAAACTTAGATATAGAATTTCACGTTATTAAAAGCAATGTAACGTAAAAAAACTAAATTAACACAAAGAGGAACAATTGGGCTCAAAACACTGATGGCTCTAAGTATAGACTAATTAGTAATTTGAATCTGAATTTCCTCTACCCAAATATCTAAAATATATACGTATTTTTATGAATATCCAAATGCAAATGCATACAAGCTTACAAATCGAAAAGTAAACTTAAGAAATAACTCAATGAATAACCACCAAAACTGGCTTATATTTTTTTTTTTTTTTAAGTAAAAGACAATCAATTCATAAGCCGCAATGCATAAACCTGAATCTGTTGCTGTCTTAGAAATTGTAGATTTGGTAACACGATGCGCTGAGTCTCCACGTAACGGTAAAAAAAAGTTCCTTAAGCTTTATGGAGCATCGTCAATGTGACATCACATTTACCCTGCAGTGAAACCCCAAACTAGTCAGGAAAAATACTAGTTTACAACTAGAATTTGCGGGCTGAAACCGTACTAGCTCGAAAATGCCCAGACTTGTACCAAGTACAAAACGATTTATTCATGCCCGGTTTTATTTGACTTCGCCAGTTTAATACAAGAAAACGGCACAAAATATTATAACTTTTATCTGGGTATATTGTAAACCATTAAAGCGAGTACATATTCAATTATACCAGACCTGTTAAATAATGATTAATAATCATAATGATTATTAATTAAAACATGAGTTTTTGGATAACCGTTCAATGATTAAATAACAATAGCACATTTTTAATGATTAATAATTAAATAAAAATTGTTAGTTAATTCACTAATTTGAATTACGTGATTATTTTATTATTTTTGATAATTTTCAATTATATTTAACTTTTTTTAATTATAAGATTAATATAACTGATTGATTAATTTCAATTATCAATCAACAAGCCAAAAAGACAAAAATTAGGAATATTTATTAACGGCATGAAATATTTATTTATTTATGTTATTCTTATCCAAATCTCAAATTTTAATTATTTCTTATAACTTTCATTTAATTTTAAAAAGAAAGAACTGAAATGTCCAAAGTTAAAGAATTTAATTTAATTTTATGATAACTTTTATTTTTATTTAAGTTCACCCGAAAATGAACTAAAGTATTTATTTTATGATTTATTTTGGAACGAATTTCCGTCATCCCTTGTCAAGCTTGGTTTGCAGACAAACCGGTTTCGGCGTTGTACCATCTTCAGTGTCATTTTTCGTTCTATCTGGTTCGAGATTTTGTCCTTAATTTATGTTCATTTATCTTAGGTAATGTGATTTTCGTCGATGATTAATTATTAGAAATGCCATGGTGTCCTTGTTTTTAGAAGCTGTCTCGATATTAACATCCGTTATAGCTGAAATACAATGCCGGCGAACGGCGAACTCACCACAGCGAAATTCGCGCTGTCAAAATTAGAACACCCGCAAGCATATGAAATTGAACACAGCCAAAGCGAAATGCGAAGTTCGCTTGGCGGCGTTTCATGGCGATAGATTTATTTCTATCGCCCTGCTGGGCGATGACAGCTGTGCGTGCCAAAGGTGGCCGTATTTGTTTTTTGCTTTCAAAGTTTTAAAACAAAACAACCTAAACACGATTTTTTTTTTGTTGTTTGAAAAATATAGTTGTGGATTCGTTAAATCTGGCTTGAAACAAATTATTTATAATAATCTTTCTTTGTTTTACATTTATATTTGTTATCATTTCCTCATTTCTAAATATGGTTTAGTTTTTTCTAAATATGGTCACCCAAATTATAAAGGCGACCAAATTTTTATTTTTAACTAAAATATTTTTTTTTTACATATTCAATAATATTAAAAAAGATGAAAAATATAGTATTTATTGTAACTGAAACCTTTTGTTTTTAATAACATTTAACGAAAAATGCATTTAAATTAATATTCGAAAGTTTGAAATATTTGTGTATTTATTTTTCCTTTTAATCAATACTAAAAAACATTTAACACTAATTATTGGCAAATCTAAGGCTACATAATTAAAAATGTATAATACTCGTATGTTAAAGTGTACGCAATCAAATTTTTTTTTTTTATATTCATGAATTCATTTTATAGTAGTGGTTTTGGTTCATAGTTGGACTAGTATTTTTCTGTCTATTTTGACCTAGTCTGAAACTATTATACTTCTGACCGAAATCTGGCAGTGGTCATCTAGTAGGACATCCCCATATTAAAAATACCAGTTGATTTCATGGAAAAAAGATAGTTGACTGACTAGTTGTGCATGCAGTTCATACTAGTTGTGAGGTAGTTTACAACTGGTCCATTTGACTACAGGATAGTGACTTAATCAGCCCTAGGCAGCGGCCGCACGGCGGGCATATTCGCGTATACATACACGCTCTACTTGAGAAGCCAGCCGAAGCTTCATTCAACTGCACGACTCCCAGTAGTAATCGGTTGTATGCATTCTTGAAGGATGCTTGCTATATGAGTGAATTGGTGTGAACAATTCATGCGTAGTCATGAATTTCCACGAATAAATTCAAATTCTAGCGAATTGCAAGCGAATGTACGTTGTCGTTGTTTTTGGTACATTTCTTGATAAATTTGAAGTGGAATTTTTGTAATATTTTCAGTCTTGTGCAAAAATTTTAGTGAACGGACGTGTTGTGAGATACTATTTTCAGCACAAACGGGCTTTTACAAGATATGCATTTGCATATGTAAATGCTACTTGTTTGTATGTCCCCGTATATTAAAATGTATCAGAAAAGTAGCTTTAATACTATTCCATTAATGCATTTTTGTATGTTTGAAACATTAATACAGACATATGCATACAGCAGTAGTACAAGTGTATGATTAAGGTACGCATACGCTCTGAGAAACCACGCGTGTTAAATGGAAATGAAGGTTCATTTATACTGGCATGTATACACAGCAGCAAGCTCATGCCACCTACAGCGATGTTGTATGCTTAAGATTTCTACTTGGGCTTGTTCGCACGCACACAGTGACATCAATTTCACGCACACTACAAAAATGGTCTACCGAGGCTGCCCACCTCTGAACTAAATCAATAAAAATCGCCGCAGCGGTGACAAGCGCACGTTGCTATCGGCGCGTATGCATCGCCGCGGTAGCCACAGGCGTGTTTTAGAGATTTACGCCGATAGGCTTTTCGATGGCGGCGGCGGCGACGCCGCTCCAGGCGTTTTCGAGTGTTGAGTTTTGTCGTTATTGCAGAGGATCAAGCGATATATTTTAGCATCGATGCTACTTCTCAAAATTTGCATCCCTAAAATCTGGACCAGGCTTGTGTATCATTAAAATTTTCTACATAATTCTTTAGGCGCCGAATTTCGAAAACTCGGCGAAGGTGCATGAGAAATCAAAAAGGCGGTGGCGGCGTAAACGTCTAGCGTGTTTCAATGATGATATAGCGAGCTGTCAAGGTACAGGCAAAGCCGGTCGGGCAGCAACATTATCCATCCATCCAAATACATGTACACATAACTTTTAGCTTTCTAAAAAATTTTGGATTAAAGTTATCGCGTGCGAGGGCCTACTAAAAATCTAACAATCAGCCGTGAAAAAACTGAATAATTAATTAATAATACTTAAGTATAACAAAAAATGCATAAAACCAGTTCATCGTCGACGCTAGACAGAAAAGAAAACAAAAGCTAAAATCTAAAAAAGGAAATAATAAAAAAATAAAAAAGCAAACGCAAACGTTAATTGAAACAAAAGGCCGCCTGCGTTTTAGTAGCAAAACAGCTGACATAGCTGTAACAATGCGATGCCAAACCGGCAATTCGCTACCCACTAGCGGCATTGTTGTCGACCACACAAGCACACACACACCTACACATGGTAAGCTTAAACAGATGTCTACATGCAATCAAGCTTTGTTTCAATGCAAATACACAAAGCAAAATATATGTATGTACGTAGATACCACGAGGTGCTTACTACGCTGCGCCGGAGCGTCCGGAGTTCGCCCTAAGCTCCGAAACACTCAAATAAAACGAAAGACTGAAGCAGCAAACGCGTTCAATCACTCGAATGCCCTGAGCACAGTGTTGCCATCTTTCGATTTTCAAAACGCACCAAAAAAACTTGGCAAAAAAGCGTTTTACCCCACCTAAAAGCACCAAATTTTTTTGAATCAAACATTAAAACTGGTATATCTCCAGAAATAAAAATAGAAGCGCATCAAATGAAAATGATGCCCTAATTAGAAATGAGCAAATAATTTGATGTTTGGGTTTGCAGCTTCAGCTTTTCATCAATCATGGTTGTATTTTAGTCCATTTAAATTTGCAGATTCTTGTAAATTCAGTGCTGCCACAGCCTCAAATATTCCAAATTATTTCAGGTTTTAACTATCTCGAAGTAATTTTAGTTCAGAAAAAAAGGCACTAGGCACAAAATAATTTTTTTCTTGGCGTTTTAATTTTAAAAAGCACTAAATCTAGTGCTTAAACAAAACAAGAAGGCAACTATGCCTCACCAGCCAAGCGGGTGTGCGAACAAAGCCAAAGTGAGCACAAATATGAAAACTCAAAACAGAAAAGTTTGAGCGACAAAAAGGTCCATACTATAGGCCAAAAAACGTATCGGCCGTCAGTTGGTTTCGAAGGTGGCAACGGTGAGCAGCGAAAACGAACGAATTCAACGCATGCTCGCCCAAAACGTCGAGAAACAGCAAACTGGACTGACGTGGTTTTGCAGCTCACGGCGCTCGAAATACTGTGGAGTCTTGCATAAAAAAATATATGAAAAAAAATTAATTTTTAATTGAAGTGCCCTAAACAAAGGTTAAAGCAATGTTTTGAAATGTTTCGTGCATTTTCCGTGAGATCAAAAAAGTTCAACTCCTTTGATGCGAATGTCATTCTACAGTACGCGCCGTCAATATTTGTTCATAACTTTGTTGCTTGTGTGCTTTGGTAAATTTGCAAGTAGTTTTGGCAGAAACGTATTCAGCTTACTTTCAAATTGTGGTGTTTCATTATATAAAGTTTCCTGAATCATAAAATTCGTGCATCGGCCTGAGTGTGTGGCGTAGTGCGTAAAGCGAAAGTCACTTATTAAAATAAAAAAAAACATCCCACGAGAAGTTTTATTTCCCGAAATTCCACTTAATGCCGCCACCGCCTGTAATGATAATAAGTGTTTCAAGCACTTAAATTTAAAGTTCACCAAAAAAACCAGAAACCTTTTTGGCTCAGATCATCTCAATATTTTGAAATTTGTATTCATTTGCAAATTTAACGAAAACACTTCACCTAAACAACGCTGGGTGCGTGTTTCAAATTTGTAATTTTCTTGCAGTAATAAAATAATATAAAATAAGCGAACGCCAAAACGATAAATATAACACAAGTGAAATTGGTGAGATTTGTGTGCCGATATTGTGGCACCGGCGAGCAGAGTTGCAGAAAAAATTCACAAAACAGTGTTCATTTTGTAATGAATTTCGTTACAGTGTAATTAAATTTTAAACTATTCTGTATTCGCACAACTACATACATAGTTTTTTTTTTTGGTTCGGCTTTGTTTTTGAACAACTGGATATTGCTCGACTTTCGACATTACGTGTGTGGATTCCATTAAGCGAGTGCACAAGCGTGAACGCACTGAAGAGCTCTTAACCCGAGTAGAATACAAAAAATGTAAGTATTTTTGTATTTGATATTTTTTCGTATTAAGTGTTCTTAATATACATACGTTTCCGCTTATGCTTGTTGTTTAAAACATTAGACAGATTAATGCTAGTCGCTGAAAAAAAAAACTTGTTTTATTGCTGAAACGCTTGATATTTAATCCGCTTCTTCTGGCTAAAGTGGGCCTCTATTTGTGAAGTCATGTAAACAAATTTGAAAGTAAATGAATCCCTCGGCTTATTTGTTATTTCTGACCTATTAACATTCAGTACGTACAGGGTTCGATTCCTGGTCCTAGCAAAATCCAAATAAGAGCTTTTTCTGGTTGCTGCCGCCCCTCGGCAGGCAATGGCCAACCGGCGAGTGTATTTTTGCCATGAATAAAGCTTCTAACTAAAACAATTTGCCGTTTGGAAGCGGCGCAAAACTGTTGCTAAGTTGATTGTCAACCAATATTTTTCTAAAATACATTTAGTACCTATTCAAGAAAAAAAAACAACAACAGGTGTTTGCGAAAGTTAGCGTGAATTATTTTTTGCATTACCACTCAGCTCTTCGTTTTATATAGATACTACTAAACTTGATTTGTGAGGAGTATTTAGAAATTTTGGAGAGTATTCTCCCAAATATTTGCGGAAATCTTAAAACTTGCATTCCCCATCAAAAGAGTGATAAATAAACCTAAGCAAAACTCACTAATAAGCTTAAAATAAATGGTATCTGGTATGAATCTGCACTGATAAAATGGTCAAATATTAATAGCCTCCTTGGATTCAGTGTTTCCACTCAACAATATTTTTCCTACCGAAATTGGTTCAAAATTGCCGTAAGCCTACCGACGTGTGACTTGCAATAAAAATGTCAACTTCAGGATTTTTAGCGTTTTCGTTTCTACAAAAAATGTTGCCATTTCATTGCCCTCTCCTTAGCGTTTGATCAAAGAGGGCAATGAAAGTTTAAAGAATTTGCCCGCACCACTAGTATACTGTAGCCACTAGCGGCACCCCAGGCATATGCGGCACCCACTTCGGGAGAGCCTGACCTAGACCTTCAATCTCTCCAACTTTCATCCAAATCCTGAGAGGTCGCGCACAGAGGTGGCCGCGATGACATGAAATGCCTCCATACGATTCGACTCTAGAAAAACGACTTGCATTCGGCACGAATCTCGCAATGAGGCTGCATATTTTATGGCATACATCTTTAGATCGGCGAGTCCGGATATGCCCTCCGTTTTTTCAGATTGGCTCTCATTTACGAATAACTGCGAATTGTGTAGAATTTTTAGTTTCGAAAATGTTGATGCCTTCTCAATTTAAATTAAATAAATAACTTAAAAATATAAAAAAATGCAGTCTTTAGCACACACCCATACGTTCTCGCCGAAGCAGAGTAGAGAGCGTTATTGTCCAGGTTCATAGTCCTTTTTAAGATCTTCCGAGGGCACTGAAATTTTACTACTGATTTTTAAGATTTTTTTTTGGTTGGAGGCGTTTCGCATTTTAATCCACATAATATACTTATCTATATCGAGCCCTAACCGCCAAAATAACGTAAGCGACATTTTTTCAAAATTTTCTTTTTGATGCAGAAACGCATCTAGATGCTCAAAGAATATTTCTGCATCAAAAATAAAATTTTGAAAGAAATGTCGCTTACGTTATTTTGGCGGTTAGGGCTCGATATATCTAATACGCGAAGGCATTTTTTGTACAGCATAAAAGATCTGCACCGTTCGCGCGATTTTCAAAAATGGGGTGTCAAATTAACGCGCTTGGCCTGTAGATGTGCAATAAGGTTTTATTTTTTCGAAAGGAGTTGCCACCTGTTAAATAATTAAACTCAAGTTTTTTACTAATCAATGCCCTCAGATCCGCACCGTACGTTCGAATTTCCAAAGTGAGGTACCAAATTAAAGGGCTTAGGGTGCCGATGTTCAAGAAGGTTTTACTTTCTCGAAAAAGTTGCCACCTGTTAAGAAATTAAGCTCAAATTAATTATAAAGTTAAATCAATTGTAACAGTATGGGTATCAACCCATATGGCTTTGAAAAGACTTTATAAGTTAACTACGTATAGGAGGGTTGCCACATGTTTAAAAAAATTTAAATAAATTTTAATTAAAGGAATTTGGTAAGTGAAGTGAAGGTATCGCTATATGGGTGTCATACAAAAGAGGTTTAAGATGGTAGTAGTTTGGAAATATTTTGAATATGGTTGCCACCTATCTTGGAAGTCTAATTGAACTACTTTATACTCAAGTTATATGAAATATTAACGATGGATGTCAAACGAAGGAGCTTCAAGAAATACTTAGTTTGACAATTTAAAACATTTTTGATGTGTTTGAGGGTTGCCCCAGTTTAAAGGACTAAACTAAAATTATTTAATAAGTTAAATGCATTACTAACCGATGGTTATCAATGGAAATGGGTTTAAAATTCTTTATTTAAGAACTATATTTAGGAGGGTTGCCACGTGTTTAAAAAATTAATTTCCACTTAATTCATCACTTACTTGAAATATTTATAACGATGTCAGGCGAAAAATATTTAAGGAAATTATAGTTCAAAAATAATTTTTAAGAGGGTTGCCGCCTGTTTTGAAAGTGTATTTCGTCTAATTATACATAAGTTACATGAAATTTTAAAATATGGTTATCAACGGAACTAGTGTTAAGAAATCTTTACATTCAACATTTGGTTTTTTTTTGTTGAAAACATTAAGCTCAAATTATTTAATAAGTTAAATTGATTGTCAAAAAATGGGTAGCAATCGAAATGGGTTTGAAAATAGTTTATGTCTAAACTGTATTCACGAGAGTTGCCATGTGCTTAAAATAATTAAATTAAACTTAATTCATCAGTTAATTGAAATATGTATAACAAAGCCAGTCGAAAAATTTTAGTTTGAAATTACCTTTAAAGGGGTTGCCACCTGTTTGAAAAGTCGAATTTGTCTTACTTATACGAAAGATACATAAATGAAATATCGAAATATTAGTGTCAAACGAAAGAGTTTTAAGTAAACTATAGGCTGCTAATACTTTTAATTGAAGTTGCCATCAATTTTTTTTTTAAGGTCATCACATCTGCATCGTTGTTTCGAATTTCCAAAATGAGAAGTCAAATTAAAGAACTGGGATTCTACTTAGATGTGCACAGGCTTTATTTTTTGAACTTACAGGGAGATTTGAAATTTGATGAAATGAAAACAGACCCCATGCGAGACCTCTCATCACTGAGAAATGGTTTAGATTAATCATTAGGAATATTTTTTGAGTTTTTGAATAGGATTTCACCTGCTTAAAAAATTTAATTAAATGTTGGCGTTTTGGCGCCATGCGGGCTCACTAGTGTTCTAAAATACTCATATTTTTATATCGGTCTATGTTATTTAGTTTGACAATTGAATGCAATGGTTTGTATTGCATGCGCTCCACGTTTTTCATTTTCAATCGCATAAATTGTTCATGATGACTTTTGCTAAAATTTCAAAAGCAGAAGTTATCAAAACAAATTCTATGGGACTGAGAAATTTTATTTTCTACTTTTTAGTCTGATCATGTATATCAAGAGCTTTTTATTTTATTTTCGAATAATAAAGTGCTAGTTTGAAATAGCAAGGACTTACCGTTGATTTTTGACAATTTTTTGTTCAAGCATTTTCTTCCGTACAAAGTATAAAAATAAAAAAATAAAATATTTATTTATTTAAAATTTTTGTACAACTAAGACAATTCAGTCTTTTATATGTAGATCAACAAAGAATTATAATCTATACAAACATAATTTACCAAGTATGTTCGACATTTTTTTTTATGGAGAAAATCAGCAACACCTTCCCCAAAAAAATTGCCAAAAATCAACGCTAAGTACTAGCTACTAAAATGGATTACGAGACTACATTCTCAGAATGTTTTGTAAAAAGCCCAAAATTTTGATGAAACTTGGTCGTCGAATTTTTCTAATTTTTAAACAAAGTTTGAAATTTTGACTTACATGTTTTTTTTTTAGATTACGAGCTACACATTATCTATATAAACGAAGGGGAAATATCCATAGAATGCTTAAATGTATCTTTTCTATTTATAATTTCGCCACTGTACAGCTGATGTGTAATTGAGAAAAATTACATGATTTAGCTGGCCTTATAATATACATACATACACAAATAAAGACTTATTTAGAGCTCTGAATTCGTTTCACAATATAATGAATTTAAAATTTATAGACTGGTATTTCAATGCCTGCTTAGTAAGGTTTTTACCATAAGTCTCAAAAAAAAAAGAACGAAATTTTGCAAAACTAGGAAGGTAGATTGACACTAATCCGCGACAATGCCAAATTAGGGAAAATAGTCTTAGCACTGAAGGTTATCACACAAAAGCAAATTAAGCATTAAGAAATACATAACTTTAAAATGTCCGCACTTAATTAAGAATCAAGATTGATTGAGATTTTGGCATTGTTATTTAAGTGACTCAACCACCCGCACAGAGCTTTATACATACATACATATACATGTATAAGTGTCAACACATTCACTTCTTTGGCAACAACAGATTCTTAAATCATTTGCCTATTGACGCCTCGGTTAAATTTTATGAGTATGTATAGGTAACAAAGTGCTCAAAAACTATTGGCAAACTACGAATGCATACTGAGGGCGGGCACGTCACAAAACCGCTTTTGCACACCAAAACATATCAAGTCAAAACTCAGACACACGCGTCAAATAAATGATCTTGGCCAAAGCCGGCTTTGTCGAGATCAGTCAGCAGCTGTTATAGCGTGCTAAAATAAAATACTTGGATCGGCAAATGGGTGCGTAGCAATAATGCTTCATTAATGGTTTGTGCAAAATTGCCTCGCAATAAAACCCATTATCGTTGTCATAAGTGAAACAAGAAAAAAAAAATAAAAATGCCAAACTCTCATTGCCATTTTAGCTGTCAACTCATCTGTCAAAATTCAAATTATGCCATACGAAAAAGGGTTAATAGAAATT